TTTTATTAAATAAATTTGTCATATAATTATCATAATATAATTTACTTGTTAAAAATTATCATTTTACAAAATATAATCATAGTCATTAAATCCTCTTTACAGATATTAAACCTTTTTCTTCAATTTACACACTTCAATCAAATTCATATATCATTCTTTTAAAAAAGAATTCAGTAAAAATTATTCTCGAAAAATATAACGATGAAATGATACGGAATGGAACATCATGCTGATGAAATGCTCAAAAACTTGGTAACTGCAATGCTAGATATACTATTAATGGAATGAAGTCTCAGCATCACTCTGAGTTTCATGTTTCCATAGAGGGTGTGTTTAAATGGAAAACGAACAAGGTGGCGTCTTGCAGTCTGTGAAATCGATGAATTACTATAGAATGATTCAAAACTTGTGTTACTTTATACAGTTCTCAATACTTCTCTAGTGAGAAAAAGAATATCCATGGAAAATTTCACATGAATTAATTTTATTTTTTATATACAGTTTTTCATATTTTATCATATTTTCATTTATTCTTGTGTATCATGCATTAAGGATCGAATCGAACTTTCTTTTTGAGAAAACCTGTATTTTCCAAGCAATATCTAGAAATTCCTTTCCATGCATCTTCGTCGTACGCGCGCACAATGTATGAATGAACGTGAATATTTGTCTTCTGATATTAAACCAGAGATTTCGTGGGAAACCAAGATATAGATACGTAATTTATTACAAAGAATATTTCACTAAATATTATAATCATCAATAATGCCCGATAAATTATAGAACAAGAAGAATTAAATTAATTATTGATATCTCTCTTTCCCAATAGATTTGATGTCCAATTTAATATTCGTACAAATTAAATTTTTAAAAAAATTAAATTTTACAAATATAAGAAAATTACGTTTCGTCGAATTTTTAGTCGTCATTTTAGAGATAAAACAGAGGGAAGAGAACCTTTTCTTTCAGGTTCATTGTTACCTCTTCAGTTTTATTGAGAAAAAAAAAAAAAAGAAAAGGTATCGTGCAGAAAGGAGATGATCGAACAAAGCGGGGAAAGATAATAGCATTGTCGGCTTGCCAAAAACTGCTACTGAAGCTTTCAAAGAGTTTTTTTCCTTAAGGGTATCTCACGGTTACTTGTCGTGCAAACTACGCGAACAATCGAATTCAAAAGTAGTTGAACCTCAAAGTAAAAAATCTAAACAACTTTTTATTATTATTCTCTGTACGTAATTATACAATTTCGTATCAATCGATAAAGGGTTAAATTAACTCTTTTTTAATAGAAATAGGATATTCAAAATTTTAATGAACATATTATTAGAAATTTTCGCTTCACTCAAATTAATTTAAAGAGTAATTTTTATTTTATATTGGGAGATTGCCAATATGTATTAGAAATTTCAAGATAATCTACGATATCAAAGTGACCCAAAAGTTTCAAAATGAATTAAAACAGGAACAAATTTCATGAAATTGACACTTTCATCGCCCTTTGAAGTTTCATTTTACGTATTTCTAAATTGAATCGATCCTTTAAATTCACAGTAGAATTTCGATGATATTTTTATTAGTATTAATAAACCGATACCAGTCACGAATCGAAACCAAAAACAATGTAGCGATTTTTGATGCGAAGTCTGAATTTTGTTTAAATGGTGCGCCTTAAAGAGGCAACGCTCGATTTGGATCTGTTCATTAAAGATTCGAATGCTTTTTGGAATTGATGCTAATTAGAAATTCCCATCGGCTTTTCGGTGTCCCACGATGATCAATTTACCTACCACAATGTAATCAATTTCTCTTCTGTACGTATCAGAATTCGAAGTGCAGCGCATAATTAATTTTGACCACGATACTATTAATTAATTCCCAATTGAATTCTTTTTTCGAAAGATCGAGGCATATTTGTTACAAATAATTAATTGTGTGAAAGTCTAATGAAAATATTATAGTTTATCCAATTTTGAGATATTTATTATCCAAAAGTTTGAAGAAAAAAAGTTGCAAGTTTCATTTAATATAGAAAATTGTCTTTGCATCTATCACGACTCAAAGTTTAAGATCGATCGTTATTGAAATATTCCCTTATAAATAAAGTTTAAATTTAATTTTTATTGTGATTATTTATCATTTCATAGTAATTTATATTTTTCCATTAGTTAATCTTCAACTCTATTTACAACTCGTTAAACTAACTAATCTAAATCAAACTTGGTCGTATATTATCAGAAATTATACGAGACCATACATCAGTTTATTTGTGACAACCAGAAACACGATGCATAAACGACAATACCAGGTTCTCTCTTGTTTCTGGATACACATTCACGTGTTTGTTTAAGATTATCCATTAAATTCAATTATTATAGCATGATGCGCTAATATAAACGTGTCATTCTATTTATATATGTATAAACAGAGAACAATGATTAACACAGTTTAAAAAGACATTTAATTGAGATTCTAATTTTATTATAATTTCTCAATGTCAGTCTTAGATTAAAAAGAATAATTTTCATATAAAAAAAAGTATAATCTTGGACTTATTTTTCTCAACTGACCAAGAATAATTAATCTACGATGAAATCAACCGTACTATCATTATGAATCTACCTCTACATGAGATGCGTGAGTGAGGTCACTTACGAGGCTAAGCAAGGACCCAGGCATCGATTCTGACCTAACCACCTCTACCCCCCAGCTTATAATTCCAACTCACTCTATTTCCTTCTCTTTCTGCTCTTATCCCTTTTCTGTCCGACCGATTGCAAACTCTGCTACTTTCTTCGGCTTACTAAATATTTCTCGTGTCACAGGTCATTCACTCCTGGATATCAAAGGATAAATTGCATCATTAATATATCCTTACATTAATATTGTAATTGAAAATTACAATAAATTAATATTTAACCAGAAGAAATCTCAGATGTCACAAATTGCCATTTATAATTTTTCTTTAATTAAAATAAAATATCCAGGTATAAATTTTAAAGATTAGATAAAGTCAAATTCTATGTAATATATTTTATATCACGCAGTGAATCATTCACGTATTTATAAATAATTATCGAATAAAAATTTAATATTAAAAATAAGAATCGAGCAATCATGAACAAAATGTATATGACGTATCTCTTAATAATTTCAAAAACGAGTCATAATCATCGATTGATTTACCAATCATCCTTTCTAAAAAAAAAAAAAATCAAACGATCTTAAATCTCTCTTGGACATGCAAAAACTCGTCAAATAATAAAAAAAAAAATCGTCCAATCATTGACTGATCCAACATCTGAACATTTTCAATATCTATGATATAATAAAATACGTGTTTTAATATATGAAATTGCTCGTTAGCGTAACACGATCGATAGCGTTGTCCTCGTTGAACGTTAAAGTGGCCTCGGCTCTGGCATCTTGCCTGTACACCACCTCCTTACATTTACACACTCTATCCCATTTCAAACATTTATTTTAAACATTTTTTTTCTTTCCCCCTTTCTCCCTTTTTTCTCTCTCTCTCTCTTTCTCTCTCGTTCTTCTTCCAATTCGACGATTCCGCCACTACCTTCTAATTTCCGTTCGATCGACGTATCGAGCACGGGTGTAACATTACCAGAGGAAATAACGTGTTGTCGAGCGAATTGATAATCGATAACCGCGTACAATTTTGAAGATTTTCAACGTCGAACGCCGTGTACACATTTTGATCAATAATACGGCATCACTTTGCGTTGGTCTGGTTTCGATGCGAACAGCAAGTAGAGCATGCGCCCGATAAACATTATAAAGGATCTGGTGTGTCACCTTTTCGAAACGGTTAATCGTTTTAACTTCGCGCCATTTCTTTCCTTTTTTTTTTTTTTTATTTTTCATTCGTGCTCGATATATTCGTTTCATATCCGTTTCATTTCGCATATGATGAGCGATGGGATTTCGTCGTGTAAAATTTTGAAGAGAGCGGTAAATTGAGGATTCGATTAGTGATATGTGAATTATTATTGTGAATGTATTTTGAGAGAAAGAGAGGAAAATGGAATTTTTATTTTAATCTATTTCTATAGTTATTCAAAATATAAATTTATCGTGGTTACACGTATTATATTCTACGTCAAATGAGCAAAGTTACATCGTGCTTTTAAATGTTACATGTTAAAAAATAGATTAGATGTTCCATTGTGCGAACGTGGCTTATTGTCCCCAAACAATTACTCTTCTAATATTCATGAATCGCTTTCCAGTGAATTTTGTTTCCTTTCTTAATTTAAAAAAAGAAAGAAAAAACTAGGACAGAGAAATATTAAATTTGGAACAAATATGGGACGAGTAAAATAGAGAGAGTTTATTAACTGATATTACTCCGAAAATGAATTTTTTTTTTTTTATGGATCATATGGAGTTTCCTTGGTCCTCTTACCTAGTATTCGAGATGAGATTACGAGAGGAGCATTCATTTGCTGGATAACAGTTTAAGACCATCGGCAAACTTGGATTATATCTCGATCCTCATCGTCGATGAGCTTCTTACAGGCATTAAAGATCTCCAAGAGTTTCTGAGAGACACGTTATTCAAATCGATGATGAAATTATTCTCATGACATGCAAACGAGATAATAAAACTATAGAGACATCATAAAACGTTCGTTTTGAAAAGAAAATTTTTTTTTTAAAAATCATTTTTTCAATCCCTTTGAAAAGAATATATGGTAAATATATACTGGAAAAGTAGAAATGAAAAAAAAATTGTAAATCCTAGGAGAAAGAGAATTAATCTTTAAATTTACACTTTCTACATATTATAGCCCTCTATTCTTCTAAAGGTAATTAATTATTATTATTTATTATCATAATTTGCTATCCGCAAAGAAATACTTCATTGAACGCTTCGAGTAGTCTTGCTTTTTTTCAATAATAATCTCAATAAACTTACACACATACATATACACACAAATCATCGACGACACGTTTGACTAATACAAATATATCTGTTTCAGAAACTTGAGCAAGACGATGACGACCAGTATCTCGACTCCCCCTGGGCCGACGGCGGCAGTCTGAAGCGTCACTTTCAAGGTTTGAACAACATCTCCTGGAAACCGCATTAAGCGGTGCCCCAAGAACGGGATCTAGAAAAGAAGAAGAAGAAGAGAGAGAAAGAGAAAGAGAGAGAGAGACGAAAAGAAAAATAATTTTTCTTCAACATAGCTTATTCAAGTCATCGACCGCGAATACAGCTAATATTCTCTCACCGACTACCAAAAATGGAGAACGAGAATTAAAAGAATAAAAAAAAAAAAAGAAAAGAAGAAGAAGAAGAAAAAGAAAAAGAAGAAATCGCAATGGCAAACGTAGCTTCAGATATTTCCACGGATACCACGGAGTAAATCAGTGGTGCACGATGCTCAAATGTAAGAGTTTCGAAAGGAACGGGCGTCGATTTGCGTCCAATTAAAAAAAAAATATATATATATATTATAAAAAAGAATTTTAAAAAAGAAAGAAAAATAGGAATAAAAAAAATTCATCGGCGTTCTCTCCTCAAAAGCGTAAAAATTTACGGATTTAACCCATTTTGATTCGGATGATTCAGGATGATTCGTTTCACGAAATAATAAAGAGAGAGCGAAAGAGAGAGAGAGAGAGAGAGAGCGAGCGAGTGAGCGAAAGAAAGAGAGAGAGAGAAAGAATGTTTTAATATTATAATATATGCCACAACGCTATCGCATAATACTGTCCCACACCGTGTACGCGCTAATTATTATCCAATAGAGATATATAACGATATTTTGTGACAGACTTTTT